AAGTTATGTTATTTTCGGAAAAAATAGATTTCCTTGCACGCTGAATCTCATCAATGCTCCAAAAATATTATATAAGTTGTACTATTAGTAATTTCCTTCTAATTTTTTCTGAGAGTATAGGACTCTATACATGTTTCGTATCTAAGCTAGAAAGATATTATAACCCTTTGTTTAGTAAAGTAAAATTTGTACTCTTGCGAAGGAATAAAAATATTATATTGGTTGGAATAATATATAAATTCCCTCTAAATCTTTGTCGAGAGCATAGAATTCTATACTTGTATCGTATCTTTGCAAGAATGATATAACTGCCTTTAGTAAGATTTGTACTTATGCGAAGAAATAAAATTATTATTAAAGTCGGATTAGTAATTTCCTTTTAATTTTTTCAGAGAGCATAGGATTCTATACATGTTTCGTATCTAAGCTAAAAAAAGATATTATGGCCCTTGGTTTAGTAAAGTAAAATTTGTACTCTTGCGAAGGCGTAAAAATATTATATTGGTTGGTCGAATTTCTGCCTGACCTAAAGAGGGCGTTGCAATCACTCACAATAATTCTGTAATCACTTACGTGGCAGGCAATAGATTGAACTGTATGTCTTATTGGAAAGCCCTATTTCGTACCATCATATTGTTTTACTATTAAATTTGTGTTATTTAATATGGTTTTTCCCTTTTTTTTTATTCAATACATCATTCGCCACTGAATCATTCTGCAGCATTCTTTACTTGTATCGTACCTTTGCAAGAATGATATTATTGCCTTTGGTTTAGCAAAATTTGTTCTCTTACGAAGGAATTAGTCGGTATTTTTGTTTTTCGTACTGCAAGTTCGCTGTGATGTATAATAAATACAAATTACAAACATAATTATTTTAAACAATAATAATAACGGACATTTTTTTTGTAACTTTATCAAAGCTAACAGTTTAAACGGATATGAATGGTAACTATATTTACATAATTAGCTTTACTTAATATTGAACTTGACACTTTAGTTGTATAATCAGTATAAGATTTGAAAGCCAATAGGAAGGCTTACTTGTGAAAAAGTTCGATAAGTCTTCTACGCAGTAGTTATTGGTTGGTGCCTTTTCAAATATAAAAATGCTCTTCAAGCAAGAAAAGAAATTATCCTATGTGTATGGAGAAGATGTATTAACAGTACTTCAGGACCAAAACTGTTTGCAAAATTTCGATTCACCAAAATTTCATTTAAGATGCAATAAAGGCATTAATTTGTGCAAACTGGCGAATAACAAACAACTCGTTAAATCGCTGAGAGATTAAATTTGTCGAATTCGACCGTTCATGATTGTTTAAAATGCTTAGATTTTTTCTCCTAGCTCGACATATGGGGTCCCACATTTCCTTACAGAAATAAATTTATGCTGGCACGTTTGACTTCTGTGGTTTGCTTCTCAAACATTAAATTTTTAAAGCTCATCATCACTGGGGTCAAAAAATGGGTTGTCTACAAAAATTTTTAAGCGGTAATACTTTTACTTCAAATGACGTTATCAAAAATCACCTGGATAGTTTTTTTTTTTCTGTAAAGAACAAAAATTTTAGGAATCTGCCAGAAAGATGAACAAAAGGTATTAAACCAAAATAGACGATATAAAATTTAATAAAATATTTTTTCATTATAAGAAAAATTGTCTTAAGGAAAAAACGAAATTACTTTCCGAACAACATAATAATAATGGAAATTTTTTTCTGATTTAATCAAAACTTATAAATTTAACGAATATGTGTGTGAATGATAGTATTATTTACTTTACTAATACTTAAAATTCATTTTTCCAGTTGTAAATTAAAAATGCTATATTCAAAAAATACATCATTGTTGAAAAAGTTTAATTATTTTGTGTTTAAAATGCCGGTATCTTTTCTAATACCTAGTTAAATAAACTTTTATTAATGATGAACTACTTTCAACAGAAATTAATATTCAGTTTCCCCCCCCCCCCCTTCTGGCAGAAAATAAAAAGTTCATGATTATGGGTCCTCCTCTCCAGACTGAAAAAAGATTTTACTTCCTTTTACGGAGAATTAGGTGAACGCTAATTCCTTATTTTTTTGTTTATCTAATTTATTTTCTGGGATATTTAATATAGTTTCATTTTATTTACTGAAATGTGCTCAGTTGAGCTTAATTACCAAGTTTTAAAAGGAAATAAAAATATAGTTAAATATTTATTAGTTGCTTCAAGTTGAGTTATCCTTCTCCTTAAGTTAACATCGTGGAAATAGAATCCCTTTTATACATGAAGTTTTTAACTTTTGCCGAACTTATGTTGATTAGCTTATCATGTATCTTGAACCCACTATTTTCTTGGTGCTTAAAAATCTTTTCAAGGTTATTAAATTTAAACTGGACTTTCGAGGAGGAAAGTTTTTTTTTTTAAAGTAAATTTGAATATTTTTACAGCAAAACATATTTCTAGTTTGTTTTCTTAAAGGTTTGAAATTAATATGTTTTTCTAAAAAAAAGCTAAAGAAATCGGACTGAATTAATTTATCCAACAATTAAGAACAAAACGCTTATGGGACATCAAAATCAAACTATCTTCGATCGATTAAGTAAATAATCCCAAGAAACAGCACCAGTAAAATATAACTTAGTTACAAGTTTCAAGCGCTCAAAAACAGGCGCCCATTTTTAAGACTTGCCAGACGTGAATGGAAAGAAACATAACTGATTTAAAAAGAAAACTTGCCAACGAAAAATGAAAAAATACAGGTGAGAAACAAAACTAGAAAAACCACATTATCCGAGAGGAGTAAATCAGGGTTCAATGCATTTCCACGCACTATGGTTAGGCAGTTAACAACTGAATCAGCATTAATATGAATAAAATAAGATTCTAGGGTATCAAGATGAGATTATGTGACTGGGGTGGAAATAATTTTAGCATTGTTGAAATTGAATTAATTCCCAAGATTTCAACAGTGTGCAGCAATAGATGATTCTTCGAATTCTGGGTAACGGACATATCTATCATGTTCTTTAAGTCTAATTTTGTTTGTCGACTGTTATTTCCAATTTATATATTTTTAAAGCGAATGAAGTTTTTGATCAAGTAATATCTTCGGTCTGTTTTATTAAATAATTCCAGGTCTTAGCATTATTCTATAAAATATTTTATATGCACATCACGGCTAATGCTTTAGCCGTGTTAAAACGAAATTCTAGTATAGAAAGAAAAAAAATAAATCGTAGTTTTATTCTTTAGCATCAAAGAAAGCCGAAATCATTTAACCTTTATCTCGTGACCAACATAACAGTGTTATGCGGAATGATCTAAACTTCAATAGTCTTAACAGTGAGTAAGTAAGCACTGATAATTTTTTGAGGGAAGAAATTGGATTTATTATAATTTTCTTTTCAAATGCCTATCATACAGACAATACGATTTTAAATCATTGGAGGTTCATGCCTGTTCATGACAAACTAGAACATTTATTTTCATTGAGTTGTCACAAACCTTCGTGAAATCGGAAGTTGTTTTCATTTTACTGGAGAAAACATAGTGCTTTATATCAATCTTCTTATCTGTCGGTCGAAATGCTGAAATGACCCTTTTTTATATCATTTGCTTCAAAAAATCGGGCGCAACTGTCTCGTAAAATGAACTTAAACTCGTAACTTTTCATTTGTATGTTGCGTCTCGTAAAAATGAAATTGTTCTTACGTCTGAGTGTATGATTGTGAGAAGCTTCCGTAAAACTTAGTTTTTATTTCTTATTTTTCAGTTTCAAATAATTTTGAAAAAGGAACAATTTGTATTAATTGCAACCGGTTTTAATATTTGTCAAAAGCTTTTAACGCATGGGACGAATTTTACATTACTTGACTACTTTGATATTTTTATTTTTAACTTGCAAACTCGGATCTTACTTGAAAGAAATGGAATAGTTTTTAAGAATATTAGTGAATTGAGTAATGTTTTTTTGTATAATGAATAAAAGTGTGCGTATTTTGCGAACATATGCATAAAACTGTGTTTCCTAATGTTCAAGTTTAGAAAAAAACTCATTTATATTTTCTGTAAAGAAATATTCATCATTTCACTTTTGAGTAACATAGAGTTGTACTACTGTTAAATAATTTATAACCAATAAAGGCCTTGATTCACTTTATTTCATTAAAAAAAATTTTTTTAGAAGAGAATTCGATAAATGGCAGTATTTATAGACTCGTATTTTAGTTTTTCATCATAAGCATTTGTTGTTTAATAAAATAAGACAATTTTTTAGTAACCAAACTTTCAGGATAGCTTGTACCGGGTGTTTCAACAATGATTTGAAAAATCAAATGAATAAAAACGTTTAGTGATAGAAATGCACAAGTTTTGTTCTGCAAGAAACTAGGATCTCACCAAGTTTTTGTTGCGATGTTCGTCAACGAACAGCACTGCTGACAAGGAAAAATTTAAAACTATATTTTCAAAATAGCACTATTTGCTACAACGTACCGCAGTTAAAGTGCGAAATTAATAAACGTCCGTACTAATTTGAATGATCTGACATGCAGCAGAACATGGTTTAGTTTACTCAATCAGCAGCGTCATCTGTTAAAAAACTTTGTTATTAATCTTGAAACTTGGTAGAGATAAATAATAATACTATTTTCAAAACGCAGCAAGTCGTGATTTTTTTCCCCCATTGATTTTTCAAAGCTTTAAGTATTTTTAGTAAATTCGATTATTTCATAGAGTTAAAAATTTAGCTAACTCTAATGAGAGCTAATTTTGCAAAATATGCCTTTTAGTAACTATCCCAGTCTTAAAGAATTTTCGAGGATAAAGAAAAATATTTTGTTTAATATTTGACTTTTAAATATCCGTCTAAATTTGCAACACAAGATCCATCTTTTTTTTTTTAAATTAAATTAATAAGGTTTCACTAAGACCTAATGGACCTTTTTTTCTTCCTCCTCCTTTGTACAGGCAATGCATGTTATCTTATTTTTATGACTTTCTCCTTCTTTAGGAACTCTCAGAACGTTCACCATGCAATTGTGTGACGGGGAAGAGCATAGGATAGAATGTTGGCCCAACACTGTGATAAGTATCAGCAAAGCAGATTACGGCAAGCCTGTCATGGGTGATATTCAGTGTCTTGAACAAAGGGATCCTCCCAGCTTGGATATACTTTCTAAACCAGGTTGCCAAGCACAAGATGTGAGAGAGGTTTGTGTGTCTGCCTTATTTTTTTTTTTTATTTTTTTTTTTGTTAATATTTTTATAACCTCATTAATATTTTTATAACCTCATAACCTCAATTTAAATGTGTCATTTGTAATAAAAATTTATTTCCCCCTGTATAAAATATTGGAAAGATATTACACGTTAGTAGATTCTGCGCAAGCTCTGCAGAGAACAGAAGTTTATCTGACTGCGCATCGCAGAATTTACGTAAGGGAAAATAAAAAATCTCGCTGATGAAAAAGAATTAAAGCCATTAGAACTTTTTAAATATGTTTTTATTTTACTAAATTTGTAATTTAAATCATCTTCAGATTAATCGAATTTGTTGAACTGAGGTCAGTATAATTTCTGATACTGTTCATTAGATTTTAAAAGTAAAATTAAATAGTTTTTTTTTATGAAATTTCACTTTGCTTTGCATATTTAAGTCTACACGTGTTAGCGTGTCATGTTATTTAATTTGAAACGTCGTGTTATTATAAATAATTTTGTTTTTAATAAAAAGAAAATTTTAATGTTTGATTTTTTGTAATCATTTCCTAACCTAAACATTAAGAGTTTTACTTTTCACAAATGTGTTTAAAATTATTTATTGTTTCAATGACTTGACGTCATTAAACATCAAAATCTAATTTTGCTATAATGGATTTTAAAAACAATTTTGCTCTAATTCGTAAAATATATTTATAAAAGATATTTATTAGCAAAATTTATTTTGGGTTCTTATAATTCAAATAAATTGATACTATTCTTATTACAATATTATTATCCACTCTTTTACCAGAATGTACATAAAGCTTCATATTTTATTGTAAGTAAATAGCAGAAAAGAATATTTTAAATCTTTACTCTTTGTTTGTTAAATAATTCTGAAAATGAGCTGCATATAAATTAGAAATATGAATTTCATTTCAATGATTTTTGAGTGAAATAATATTTTGCATAAATAACAATTTATAAATGAAATAAATTTTACAAATATATGTATTATAATTGCATTGCTTTTGAAAGTAAAATATTTTTTTGTGATAATTTACATTTTAGACCTTATTTTAAAGTTGAATTATTTCTCTGTATTAGTTTCTTTTAAAATGTTTTCCTTTTGTACTATACTATATTGTCTTATTTTCTTTTGTATTCAAATGAATTGTTTTAAAATATTGTATACATTTAAATGCAGGGCTTGAGAAATTTTCAGGGCTCTTATGTTAATTATATTAGAGTTAAATTTTATTTTGGAAGTGTTAAGAAAATTTTAATTTGTAAAAATAACAATTAATACATAGTCTGATTATTAAATTGGATTTGTCTATAATGATATTGTTAGCTATATTTACACAGAGTGACAGGATATCAAAATCACACAGCCAAACTTTCAAATAATCAGGAAAACTTTATGGGTAACAAATTAAAATTCTCAAACATACCACTTTTGGCGTTATTACAAAACTGTAAACATGTCTTTTATAAGCTGCAACTTACTTACCGATATTTTATCCTTTTTCTTGCAAAAAGAGATTTTTTTAGCAAATTTTTATGCAGGCAGGTAAGCACAGACTCGAGTTGAAAAGATGGAAAAAAATCCATTGAGTTCAAATCTGGTGACTAAGGTGGCTTTTTTTCTTAAAAAGTCAGGAAAATGTACCTTGCATCATTTTTGAGTGACTTTAGCACTATGTGCGAGAGCAAAATTCTGTTGAAAGGTACTTTTTCAGTTTCCTGGGAACATACATGTCCAAGAAAGCCTCACAACTTTCAAACTGAGTTTGTAATATGTTGCAATACCAATGTATGATTTTAAACTTAGTTTAAGTTATTTCTTGTCAACTTGTAATTTGATAATCTTTTTCTTCCATAATTTGTAAAAAATGGTTCAAAATATTTCATTTAAAAGTTTCACACTTTAAGAATCAGTGATTATGCCAAGCCCATTCTACACTGGCTTAATTATTTTCTTATGAAACCTTAAGCTCAGATTTCTCAATAGCATATTTTTTCTATGTAAGCGCTCATTATTCATAAAGCTTTTCTGAACGAATAAAATGTAGATTCAATGCAAGCGAAAAACGAAGAAGAACCCTTAAATTTTAAATAGTATTTTTCTCTCACAAGGGAAAATGGGGAAGTGTGACTCGCCAATTTTGAAATAAACTAGTGGGATGTATGCTTTATGAAGAATAATTTTAGGGGGAAACATTCGTTTCGACCCACAGAAGGTCCTGTGAGAGATAAAAAAATAATTCAATATATAGAATAATCGGTATTTTATTACTTCAATGCAGACTATTAGTTATTGTAATTGTCTCATACTCCAATTAATTTTGTAGTACTTTCACGTACTATATAATGCATATTTATTGTCAAAATTGATTTCGAAAATTTTATATATCTGTAGTTTTTCAGAAGAACCTGTTAGGTTAATTTTTTAAAAAAATTGACATCAAATTTTTTTAATTTTTTTCTCAAAAAGCTTTCCAAATTAATTGGAGAATGTAATTGCAAATCACTTAATTAATGAATAATTAATAAAAAATTAATTAATAATTAATTAATAATTGATACTTAATTAATTTTCTGATTTATTTATTAATTAGCAAATTAATTAATTATCCAATTAATTACAAATTAATTGGATTATGAGACAATAACTAATAGTCTGCATTGAAGTAATAAAAAACCGATTTTTCTATATAGTATTGAATTATTTTTTATCTCTCACAGGACCTTCTGTGGGCCGAAACGAATGTTGCCCCCTAAAATTATTCCTCATAAGGCATACATCGCACTAATTTATTTCAAAATTGGCGAGTCACACTTCCCTAGTTTCCCTTGTCAGTATTTTTCTCAATTTTTTAAAATGCTTTCGTAAAATGCCGATATTTTCTTTTTGAATGTAAGACTAAGTTTATTTTTCTATAAACAAGTCTTCAAAATATCTTATCAAAATATTTAAAAAAAATAAAAATAAAATAAAAATAACGTAAAGCTTGTTTAAATATTGAGCTGCTGAAATATTGATCTTTTTAAATATTGAATTAATGGAACTCTTAATTATAACAATAAATGCTTAGAAAAATGAAGAAAAAAAAGCTTTACTAAAAAAGAATTTGAAATTAAATTATCTTAATCTATCTTCAACACTGTATGAACATTTATAAACTTCAGTTTAACCACTCATTATAGATTTAGTGCTTTATATTTATATCTTGTTTGTTTTTCAGCGGTTGCAAACTGAATGTAAAGAGAAGCAAGAATGCTATGTAAAAAGTACTCCTAAAATGTTGCAAGAAGATTTGTGCCCTGGCGTTCAAAGACAGCTTGAAGTTGCATACAAATGCAGACCAAGTAAGTGAATTTATTTATAATACGTTGATTTTCTTATGCTATTTTTTTTTTTTCTTGTTTCAAGCTTTTCAATGACTGACCAGCACACAGGATAAATAAAGTCAAAGCAGTGTATTTAACTAATGAATATACAATTATGCTCTCAGCATCTTTCACTGGGTCAAATTTTTTTATTTAATGTTTATTTCTCACAGGCAGAATACATGCAAAACTAAAGTGAATTACAAAGATGATGAGCATCTTTTATTTAGTCCAAAAATACAAGATATGAATTAATGCTAAGAACAGAAGGCTTGTACTTTTAGACATTTATAAAAATGTGACATCATCAGCTTACTGATGTTTTAGCTATGTTGACTAAATCCTCAGCCAGATTTAACAAGTTAAACTGATTTCTAAAATGTATTTTCTTTTCACTCTTTCTCCATGAAACTTATAAACAAAGTGGATAATTTAGAAGTTGTGAATGGGAAAAAAAAAATCTTTTTTGCCTAAACGTCCCCTTTTTAAGGGTCAAACATCCTCAAAAGAGAACAATCAAGGCTGGCTAGATTCCAGAAACCCTGAGCTTTTCTATGTCCTGAAATTTACTGTCTTGTATTTTTATTGAGAACAAGTCCCCCCCCCTGACAGTATGTATGAAAATAATGTTATACTTTAGAACTTAAAAATTATTGATGCTTTGAGTTTAAGATATATTTAATAAGATATTTTTGTTATGATTTTATTAGTTAATATCTTTTCGGTGCAATTTTAAATGATATTGGCTAATTCAGGACTAAAACTTACATGGAAAAAAGAAAAACCGGGTATTAAAACAACCATTTCTTTATAACTTGTTTTCGTTAGGAATAAAATGTGTCAAGATTTTGTGTAAGTAACAGCTGTATAAATTGTTGCAGAAAGGCCATAAAACAATTAACGAATATTGTCCTACCTTATATAATATTGTTATACCTAATAACTACTTAATATTTTAGTTGAAAATAGATGAAATAAGAGATCTGATTAAAATTTATGTAAAACAAAAAAAAAAAAAAAAAATCTTTTTTAATAAAACAATTTTGATTTTTTTCTCATTGGTTGTGATTTAATTTTGTCCATGTCAAAATTGGTTAAAAACATTGAAACATGTATTTTATTTATATTGAGCTCAACCCTTTTACTCATATTTTTTTTTAATTTCAGTCATTTCTTTTTTTTTTTTTTTTTTTTGAATGAAATATTTTAATGACATTAGTTTTAATCATATTATCAATGTATCAATATTTGTAATGAAATAATTTGAATAACGTTGGGTAAATATCAATTAAGCTTAGCCAAGAAAAGTGGGTTTTGAAAAGAGTTAAATTTGTTACAAAGATAAGTCTCCTGATTAACTTTTTATCCTTATATTTCAGATAAATTTTTTACCCGTGTGGTGTGTGAGAATGAAAAAATGAAGTTGAGATGTAAGAAACCCTCAAGAATCATTATTTATAGTGCATTCTTTGGGAGTTCAATAGCTGGTGCAGAAGAATGTCCTGAAGATGCTCATAAATATTATGAAGGTAGGTATTATTTTTGGATTATCCTTGAATTTGAAGTGTTATCCGTAATTTTTTTCACTGCAATTATATAATTAAGTTATTATATTTCATTTCTGAAATCTGACGAGCGCCAAACTGGGATTTAGAAAAAGCTTATAATAAGACAATGTACCCTAGTAGCAAAATAACTTGAGGCCTTCATTGGCCTAATATTCATGAATCTTGGCCCGATAAGGGTCCGAAAGGCTGTTATTTTTCCAATATTGACCCTGTATAGAATCGTCCAATTTTCCTGATATTTTACAACCAATATCAGTCATATATGGAATTGACAGATTCATAAGATATTTATTATTCAGCCAATATTAGTCCCTCGGTGCGCATATTGGGATGCATATTGGGCCAATTTTGAGCCCAATTGGGGCCAAGGTAAAATTGTTGCTAGGGTATATGTGTTCTTATGATTTAAAACCAACTTCAAATCCAAATGATATTTCAAAAAGAAAAATAGTAACTTTTTTGTATGTAAAATTTAAGAAATTTTTTTTCTTAAATTTCACCTATAGTTATTTTGTTTACATTTTGATATTTAAATTTTAAATCTTAGTTTCTTTAGAAAGAAAAAAACACATTGAGCAGTTTTTGATCTGTAATGTAATTATGTAGTTATAGGAAATGGGACAAACATCAAGCCAAACAATACTTAGCTTAATTTGAAGAATGATTTAAATTATCGGTTTCCAATTAGCCAAGAAGCAACTAATAACTCACTTGAAATATATATATATAAATAAAAAATTTTTTTGAAGATCCAGATTTGGCTTAGTCTCTCAAATCTAACTTTCTTACTCAGCTTCATGTTTGCTGTATTGAGCTTTATTTATTTATTTTTTAACCTGTATAAGAACTTTTAACTGTGCCTAAGATGTGTAATTTATTAATTAACTTATTCAGTTCTTTAAATACTAAAAATAGCTTTGATTTGGCTTCTTTGCTTAATGCCCTGAAATAACTTCCTAGTGATAAAAGTATTATTGTATTGGAAAATTAAGTTTTTTTTATTATAAATATATAATGGCATAAATAACTTTGTGTATATGCTATGCATCATTATTGTATTTTTTCACTGGTAATAATTTTCCTAAATGTATGTTTATTTAATATTATTAATGTTTATAGTAAATTCCTTGAAGAATTAAAATTAGTTTTTAAAGCAAGAAAAATAATACATGTCTATAATTTTGAGGTTGTGGTAAAGATATATGTCAGTGTTCCTTCCTCCATGTTCCTATCAAAAAAGTTTTGCTTGATTTCTTTTTGATCAATTCTGCCTCTCAACCGATTCCAGATTGTTATTTGTGTACCATAACTCTCTCAACTGTGTTTCGAGAGTATGGTACACAAGTAACAATCTGTGTTTAAATATAAGAGGTCTAACTTGATTCAGTACATAACAAATAAATAATATTAAATAAATGCTTATTGGTTGTTGTCAATTATAGGACGTTTTTCGAAGATTCGAACTCTCGAAATTTTGGAATTCTCAATCTGTGACAATTGTTTTCAGTTAAATATTAGGGTCTACTAGCATCAATGTTTCTAAAGATATAACATTTGGATTCGTAGTTAATTTTAAATTACAAGTGGGTGAACTGCACATTCATTATCCTAATGTGGGCTTTTTTTAAATCCTAGCTTGGCTCTCCCTTGATTTTCCTCTTAAATCTAGTAAAATATATTTTATTCTTATTTTATGAGTATACTATTGAATATAAATACTGAGTATGTATGAAAATTCTTTTTTATATTGGTCATATACTGGTATAAATGGTCATGGATTTTTTTTCCGGTCAATTTTTGAGAAATTAATTAATTCCTTTTCTTTGTGATAAATGTAATTAAAAAAATTGCCAATTTTTTTTTTTAGCTATCAGAATTTTTTCCTCTTGTTACGTTTTTTGATGAATTGTAAGGAAACAGAATTCTAAAATAAGCTTTGCTATCTACAGTATTGGAAGAGACATCCATTAACATTTTATTTCATGTTGTCGATTTAAAATTGATCATAATACATTTTATTCTCAATAACATTTGAAAACAAATTCTAAATTTTTTTCATTTAATCCTTCAAACGTTGAGCTCATGCTCAAATTTTGTTCTGAAATTTCCATAGAGAAAAGCAGAAGAGTCAGCAATAAAAAATTTAAAAAGAAAAACCTTACTAAATATTGGGCTGAAAATTAAAATTTGATTCTTTTAAGAAAAAAATAATCCTAACTCCAAATGTTAGAATAGCTAACAAATTCAGAGTACTGTGTAAGCTACTAACAATTAAAACTTCATAAATTTGTTTAGATTGTGAGGTGAATTTTGCAACAGAGGCTGCTATGAACAACTGCCAGGGCAGACGGAGATGCACATTGTCTGCTGATTCGATTGCTTTCGGTATCACTGGCTGCTCTACTAAAGCTAAAGTTTTCTTGAGAGTTGTTTATACTTGTGGTAAGTTTCTTCTGCTGTCGAGTACCTTTTTTATAAGTTTTAAATTCCATACCACTTTGATAATTGTACTTTTTTAGTTCCTAAAGATTCTTTACAAGATATAGAGTTTCAAGAAGAAGCTGACTTCGACTATCCTAATGTCTTCAAAGAACCAAATGTGTCTGAAATATTGCATAATCTGAAATCTGAAGACAGTATTAATATTAAGTTCACCACACCATCCAGCTATCAAAATGTTATACATAAAGGTTGGTGCTTTTTCACTAAGTTGAGTAGGTTTTTTTTAAATAATGTTTTAAAGAACATTCTCAATTTTTACTGTTGGAAACACTAACTTTTTTTTTCAAATAGGAGAAACGGAAATATATTATGAAACCCACTTTATTTGTTAATTAATAAATTAAAGCTGTAAATATATTGCAGCTTGCTGAAATAAACACAGGAAAAACATATTTCATTAACCTATGCATATAGCATGTCATTTATGTTATCATAATGAATGTAACAGATGGTTTATTAATTGTGTAACAAATGGTATACTTAAGAAAACATCGTAAAACGTGTTCCCTAGTAGGGTACATATCTAGCATCTTCTAATGCAAACTTCAGAATGCGTAGCACAATGATGTAGCGCATCTTTCTGATATTAATTAAATGGACAGGTAGTGACATTTTGTAAGGAAAGTTATAAGTGGTATACTAGTATATACAAACTCTTTCATGGTTATCGAAAAATCTTTTTTATGTGTGTAGAAGAATTATCTTCTAATCATGTAACCTTTTTTGGGGGAACATTTGAAGCACTTTTTCTATTTCATTGATAATAACATATTTTTATTAACATCCCAGTCTGTTCTTGAAAATTTTTTTTACTAATACCTACTATAAAGTAAACTTGATTATTAAAGTATATGTACTTGATTTAGCTTACCTCCACCCCATTGTTATATTGTGAGTAAAATCATAAACTGGCTTACATCGTGATTCAATCATATTATTTATGGACATCCCTTAATCGTTTTGCGTAAAAGTTTCATTCTTAATGTTATGCAGTAAGCATTTTGTCATAATTTAAGACTTATAATATAGAATTCGTAAATGACATCACATCTAAATGCCCTTTACCATTCATCTACAGTATGTATCTCCTGCATTTGGATAATTATTTTTTTTTAAACCTTTATCTAAATTGTTGTTATTGTTATACTATTTTAATATTCATGAATGTTTTAGATATATCTGATTTAACAATTGTAACAACAACAAAGAAAGCAGATGTTCAAAGTGATGAAACCAGTGATGATTTAACTGATGTGAATTGTACAGTTGCTGATGACAATCAGAAAGTTGTTGGGTTTCTCTCAGAGTGGATAGCAGCTTATAAATTTATCACAGGTAAAGAAATTTTTATTTATAGGTTGGAGTTTAATTACTTAAACTCATTTAATGCCAAATAAAAATTGAAAGTACAAATATAAAAAAAAAGCCAATTCTTTTCATTGTGCAGTTCTGGGAGTTGAAGAGTGATAGTCAGCTGTAAGCGTAGCCCTTAAAATAATTTAAATAAGAGAACATTAATTTTGAGTTATTTCATGTCAAAGCTGAAGATTTTTAATGCCATATGTAATTTAGTTTAGAGAAAATTATTTCCATATAAATTATAATTCCTACAATGTCCAAGAAAAAAAGGTTAAAGATTAATTCAGACAGTGAATTATCAAAAGCAATTTTAAAATAATCATTTTTATTTCATTTGTTTATAAGCAGTTTTGATTTTGTTTATTGACTGGAAAAATTAGGTATAAAGTAACATTTACTATACATATCTATATCTACTTTATTATTACTCATTTTTTTTAGTTTTTAATTAAAGAAAAAAAATTTTTATTTTAAATAATAATTCACTGAATATTTTGTTTCCATTTGGTATTGCACAAGATTTACCGATTACGACAAGATTGCTTAATTATTCCATTTTATTATTCAATTTGTGAGACAGGGAAAAATTATATATTCATCTTAGCTGAGAATTAATTTTTTTTAAATATATTTATTTATCAAATGGTACCTTATTTATTTTATTTAACTATATATTTATTTTATTTATTGATTAGATAATTTACTGAAGCAATTGAATTACATACTTATTTTTAATTTGTAAAAGAAAATAATTTCATTCGGCAAAATGGGAATTCCACCCATTTCCAAAACTATAAGTTGTGCTTTTCATATTTTCATTTTTTTAACTATTTGTTTTTCTTTTTCTCTTTATAGAAAATAAGGAAAAATTCATCTTATATGTGACATTAAGTTTAGGAGTTGGTATCCTACTCTTCTTATTAGTATTAACAGTGCGTCTTTACTCGCAGCAGCAACAATCTCTTAAAAAAGCTAAATTAAATATTTCTGATCCCTTACCCCTTGGTTTTGATGAGGATTGTTCCGATCTGGATCAGTACGATCCCCGTCAAGACCAGAGTGTAGAAGTTGTTCGCTACACCAACATGTCAACAATTAGAAGGCAAGACAGCACGAACCAACCACGTGCACCACTGTCTCATTCCATGAATAACTATTATTACAGCTAATAGTTTTTCAATGGTTTACACAAACTGTGTTCTAATTATTGCTGGTCAATTTTTTACTTAGTCTGAACCAATCAATGTGCAGAGAGTTTGTGGACATTTAGAGTTATTTTATTTTATGTGAGTGCCTGTTTGATACAGATAGCAAAGAAATCTCAAATTGTTTACTTATATTTCCGGTAGCAGAAACTCCAACACGGATGTGGGTGCTGCAGATTATTTTTAACCTAAGACTTTTAGAACATCTCTAAATTTGTTTTTAATCTAAATTTTAAAAAAAGTGGAATGTAGAGAACACACACCACAAAGAACAAAACTTAAAGATTTTTTTCTTCTGTAAATTGATTACAGTTTTAACTACGTTGGAAATTATAATATTATAAAATTTAACTTGAATTTAAACATCATTAAGTTTTTATGTATAATTTTTAAAGACCTTATATTTGCAACATGTATGTTATATTAACTTTTATTTTTACAATAAAAATTGCAGAAAAATTTGTATTTATAAAAATAGTACTGCAGATTCACTCCAACAATTCTGCTACCTGGTTTATATTGAGTTATATAGGAACAAATGATATTTCATTCGGAATATTATTCATTGTGTATGCCATATCATTTCATTTGACTCATTTGTATGTTTATTCATTCATAAATTATCTATGAAGAGATGTAATGTTAGCATATATTAAGTTTGTAAGATATTGTTATAGGCAAACTGAGACTTAAAGCGTGAATGGAATTTGTAGTATGTTGCAGCCCTGTTCTTTTATCAGGCCCCTTCTTACATTTCTAATATCTTGAATAATGTTATTGATATGAGAAGATACATTGTATAATTATGATGTGGATATCATAGGTGTATTAATTGGCCAGATGAAAGAAGAACTTTTTAATACAAATAGTTAAGAGTATTCAGTCTTTTATTTGAAACTTTTTTTTTTTTTTTTTTTTCTACAATTATATATGCAGTGTTTTCCTAATTATCTAGAACTGAAAAATTGGAGAGAAAAAAAGTAGATCTGTAAAATATTAATTTTAAAATAGAATAGGTTATGGTTAAAAGAAACTGTTTTTGAATTATTTATCTACTATGGATGAGCATGAATAAAGTAATCAAAATACTTATACAATAAGAAACAAAATAATATTTATTTATAACGACTTGTCGCCCACTGTTTAAACAAGTATTCTTAATAAAAGATTGTACATGACATTAGCCATTTTTTCTACTATTTTAAATTAAACAGTAAAGTCATAGATTTTAAAAATAGATGATGTTTAATAGCAATTTACACTTTTCTTAACCAAAAAACTCATTCCTGAGAGCAAGATAAAACACTGAAAAGAATAACTAGTTTTCATGGCTCATCTGGCAACAGCAAAATAAATATCCCCCAACCTCTAAAATATGTTTTTTTTTTTTTTTTTTTTTTTTTCATCAACCTGAATGCAAGCACGAAGTCTGTAGATAATCAGGACTACACTGTATGTATTATAATAGTTCTAAAGGGGTAAATCATGTTTCGAGAATATAATTTGTTATTGAGTGAAATTAAAGAAAAAATTATTGTTTTTTTTTTATCTATACTCAAAGTGTAAAGGAATGATCTTACTGTTAAAAAAATAATCCAAAATAACTTAACTGCAAATTTTATTTGATAAGAAGCCATAAAATGGTTATACTTCTAATGAAATTAACTATAAATAGTTATTTTGCCTTCATTGAACAAAATCATTTATTTATTATGCATTTATGAAAAAACAAAGTTACTTATTATAATTTTAATAATTTTTTGTTAGCTTAAATATTTTATATTAGTGATCAGTTTTTGATGAAGTATACTTTGAGTCTTTTTAGGTTCAAAATTACTGTTTTTCAAGTCGAAAAAGTTTTGAAATCCTGTTTTTAGAGTGAATAACGGCAATTATTTTTGCGCAATTTTAAATTTGTTTCATAAAATGTTAGTTATTTTTTTGAACCTAGTACAACTTTAAGTACAAAAATATTTTAAAATGAATCATTAAGCATATTTATAAAGTTAATGGTTTATCTAGTATATATATATTTTATCTGCCTCATAAATCAGATGAAAAATGAAATTGTAAGGTTAATTGATATTGCATATTTGGTTTAAATAATATGTTATTGTTAATTTTGTTATTCTTAAAAAAAAGTACTTAAATGGTAATCTTAAATGCATTAGTTAAACTCTAAAATTCAGAAGGGTCCATAATCAAAATATTCTATTGCTATTAAAACTTCATTTCTATATTTTTTGGGTTATGTTAAACCCATTTGGGTTTGGGTTATATACTAATATTTTAGCTTATTTGGACTATTATAAAATTCCCTGCAGCTGAAGTATTTTTATTAGAAACTAATATTTTTATTTTTTATTATTATTCTACTGGTTCTTAATTGAGATAGTTACTTATATATTTTGTCTACATAATTTTGTGCTGCAGTATTTGAAAATTATCATTATGATGATTATATTTCTCCCCTAACTTTTAATTGTTAATGTATTTTTTTTTTCTGAGGTTTATTTTTTCCATCTTACTCTCTCACAAGAAATCTAATATACAAAATATAAGTAAGATCGCTATACAATATGCACTCTTACTTAGAATTTACTTAATTAAACACTCAGTTCATGAATGGTTATTGTGATTATAAAAATAGAATAATAAAATATTAACTTTAAATAATAAAGATAAACTTATAAATATATTTAATAAAAATTTTCATTATTTAGAAAATTAATTTTTGGTAAAAAGTTCAGATCATGTCTACACTACAGTTTAAATTTTTATAAACTTAAACTTTTCACACATTAATTTATTGTTGCCTTTTTATTAACCTTTTTATTTGTTGCCTGGTTGAATATATACTCCTTAATTCTTTATAGTATTTTGGACCTTAATTTTTCATAAGTTTTAATTATTCATTAAAAGTATGTCAAAAATTATCAGATTTTGAAATTAAGTTAGATTTTCAGAAATATATATTTTTTTGTAACATCTGCTGCATACACAGGGCTGCCAACTTTCTAAGCTTTTTGTAAAAATTTATTCCAGTGGTAACTAAATTTTTGCTTTAATGTATTATTTTTTATTAATTTGAACTTATTTTCCACACCAATACATATAAATGATTTAAAAGTTCATATACAGTGCCATTTTGTTCCTGCACTATTGGTGAGAAGCTTTGAAAGTGTTAGCAAAATTACCAAAATTCTGAAAGCTTTTATTATTAAAAGTCTATCTCTATACAAAACATTTTTCAAAAAGCGTCATAGTTGGCAGGTCTGCACACAATTAATTACTAACAAAACAACCTAATTTTTTTTTCTTTATAAAAATTTGCGATCAGCTATTTTTGAATCATATTTAAAATTAAAAGAGGCTACATTAGGATGCAAACCATGATATAATTTAATTAACATAATTTTTTCCAATAATATAATTTTAGACAAATCAATATTTAATAAGAATTATAATAATTAATAGCAAAAATAATGCCTGTGATCTTATGCGATTTTAGAACCGTTTCTAAAAAGAAACTTAGAAAAAATTAATATTTGACAATAGCTTCTTTATTTAATAGTATGACATAGTGTTTAATGACAGATGATAATTTGAATCTTAACTGTTATATGGTCAATTCACAAAATGTTGTGAAAAACAATCTTAATTATTTAAAGAAAAAAAAGTAATCCCAAATCATGATTAGTTAAATTCAACCAATTTTTTATACTTTGATAGTTATTCAAACATAAAATAATGATTTTAACAGTTTGTAAATGACTACTTAAATCAAGTGTTATTTTAGGTGCAGTTTATTTTTCTAGCCAACAAAATATTCTTTAAAAAACTATAATTAAATCTCAAAGTACTAAAAAAAACTTGGGCAATTTGTTAGGTAATATTTTACTTATGTTTTCTGAGATAAATAATTCTGATTAATTAATTTTATTTTAAAATTTCAAGAAATTCTCCATAAATGCATTGCATATTATGTGTATCTCCAAAAACACCAGTATACACTAATAATTTGTGTAAAAATGTTTGCATCTGTTGGTTATCTTTAGATAAAAATCTTCATCATGAAAAAGTTTATATATATTAAAAAATGAACTTAATCTTCAAACTGAACTTAATCTTATTGATTAAAATAAATAAATATATTTAATTGTATCTGCAAGAATATGACTGTTAAACTTCTATATTTATATTGCGTAGCAAGACTATCACAATATTTAAACAACTGCATAAAAAGTCCTGTGCCTAAAAAAATCACACTGTATCTATCATACAACATTACATGTAATTGGTAACCACATAGCATAAATATTTCAAGAATGGGTGAAATTTAAATAATGGTTACAAAATATAGTGCAGGTTTTTCTAACTAATCAAATATGTCCATATAGTCAATTGTAATACTTATTTCAATTACTGTATGCGGAAAAATTTCTCTAATAAAGACACTACTGTTTTTGTAATTTATTGTGAAGATTTTTATTTTACTTATTTTTTTTAAAGTATTACTATAAAAAATTATTTCCAGCTCTAACAATGAACTAAATATATTTTGTTTGCTTAATTTACCTTTTAAAAATGATACTTATGTAATACTTAAATTGATTGAATTAATACCTGAAATGTATCAATATATTGAAATCATTATATTGATCTTAATGATTTTTTAATTTATGTGGTATTCAAAATTTATTTCAATGTATGCATTTGATAAAGAGTTTCTTTTAACCTTTACTCAATACACATTAAAATGCATTTAATTAAGTTTTGTTTTCATGTTTGATTTATTGCACATAAACGTACTTAACAAATTTGTATGCCATTTATTGTTGAAACATAACAATTTTTACTGTTGTTTTTGTTTGAAATGTGTATTCAATAGTAAATTCATGAGCTCTATGTTTTTATATTAAGTACAAAACTCAATATAGTGAGAAAATTGTTACTTAAAATATTGTAAAATGTGTATTTAACTTCTTGCATCAGTGTGAAGTTGTAATTCAATATTTTCTTAATTATGAAACTAAATTGGGATAGTTTATTTTTGCATCTAGTCCACTACCCTTCTTGAATTTCTTGCAGTGCATTTATTTTGACAAAATAATGCATAATTAAAGTTTTTTTTTTTAATTCTAATTTTGCTGTTGGATGTCAACAATGTACAGTTTTATTTATTTCACTGAAGAAAATTGAGAGAATTTTAAGAGCTTTGTTGTATTGTTCGTGTGTGTGTAGTATTATGAACAAATTCTTGTTTAAAACAATGTTGCATTTATTGGAAACGTCATTTTATTACATTGCAAGGACAACATATTCACCTTAAAGGTTTTGAGGTCGGTCCTTGTTTATAAGAATACATTAATTATAAAATTTTTTCATAAACTGCTCTTTTGAAGAACAATTGTGATTTTTTTTCTCCATCTTAACATATTTTTTCAGTGCAAATAATCAAACTATGTGTGGAGGCTATTTGCATCATAGTTGTCTAATGCAAGTGTTAATAGTATTTAGATTTTGCAATCGAAAGTGATAAATATATTTTGAATATAAGTGCCGCTTACTCTATAGTTGGGTAAAATACAGGCATGTGATTCTTCCTCTAATTCACAGAATTCTGCGAATCTCAAGGCTCTTGATTTGTGTGAACTTTTGCAAATCAATTAATTTATATTCTGATAAAATTTCCATTAATCTGAAATTTAATTTTTTCTTCCGGAGATTTGTTAGAGAAAAATACAACTTCAGATAAACTTCAAGAACAGAGACTGAAAACAAAATTCCATTATAACTTCGGCTAAAATTAACGATTAAAAACTAACTTTGGTTAAAAGCTACTGAGGCAAACACAGAAGTATACAATTAATGATCTAAAAAATAATTCTGAAATGGCAACCATTAAGATCTTTTAATAATCAATCATTTCTCAGTTATTGCCATAGATTTCACAATTATTTTTTATTTATTTATTATTATTATTTATTTATTTTTTTATTTATTTTTGATGTGATGACAATTTTTAAAGTGTGAAAAAGGAGGAATATGTAATTCTTTCAATTATTATATTCTTTTATGTATTAATGAGAATTTTTTTTCTTTTTTTAAACTTTACTTTTGTGCATAAAAATTAGTCTTTTATCTTCGATGTAAGAAAAAAAATAAAGCACTAAAAAAAGAAAAAGAACCTATATAGAAAAAAATATCTGATAATTTCTTCCAGCAATCACATGTCTGAAAATAGATTATCAAGTTGATTTATTCATTTAAATTGTAACAATCATGAGTCGGGTGGTTTCTTTCAAATTATTGGATTCAATCTTTAAACCACTGATTAAAATAACTGAAACTTAATCAACGAATTTCAGCCACCAAATAAAATACTTCACATTTACTAATTCAATCAGTCAAATAAGTGTTGATTCATAATACATTAACCACAATTACCGCTTGGCTTGTGTGGATAATTCATAAACATTAATAAATTAAATATTTGTACAAATTTTATTTTAAAACTATCCTATAATTTATTTATTTATTTTTTAACAGTTGCTTACTGAAATATTTTTTACAAAACATATATTTTAATTCATCAAATATCATCTTTAGATATGATAAATATTAGACAGCTGTCTCAATTGGCTATTTCCACATATTTAATTTGATTAGTTTGTATTGTTTAAAATACGTTATGCAAAAAATAATAATAATA